GCTTTCAAATGTTACCAATATTGGTGGGAAGTGGGGATGCATACGTTTGAAAGTGCTTGTCGCAGGAGGTGCGATTTATTTGACGCCGAGTGTACGAGTATGTACCTATTCTGAGACTGACGTGCTGGCTTATATATCTTAAAATTAATAGCACCATATTTACTCAGCTTAGATTATTATTATCTTCTCCTTCTTCTTCTTTTGTTTAGTGGCAATCAAGCCTGCGAGGCTTATACAATACAGGGTGGGAATGATAATATAAGTGATCTCACTCGGTTATTTCTAGGTATACAAGATATCGGAACCCAGTTTACTGATCCTGAAAGTGCTTTACGAACTCTATCTAACGGTATCAAAACTAGATTACAGAATTAAGGTAAGTGCCCCCTACTTCGGTATATTAAGGCTCTTACGACTTTTTTTAACATTTTATTTAAAAATAACCAAGCATGTTATCAGTATGAAAGCTTTTGTATGCTAAACTTTGGTCTTTTGACAGTAACTTAATACATAAATTATAGTTATATAGTTTGAACTTTTTTTTATATTAATTGTTCTGCGGACCTCTTGTTTGGATCCTGTTTCGTGATAAAATTTTGCTCTGTTTCTAAGTTCGTGAACTCATGTCCCCTATTTCGGGATAAGATTTTAAGCATCGAGTTAAGATTAGTTATTAATGATTAAGGGTTTAATAAATTTAAAAACTATATATAAATTTAGAATAATAGAATTAAGTGAAATTGACGATATTAGCTACTTACCTGAAATATTCATGAGAAATAATGTGTCTCACTACCAGCGTTGCCAGACGTCCCGATTTTGGCGGGACGTCCCGATTTTTAAGTCAAATTTAAATGTCCCGCGCGGGACAGGCTCTGTCCCGCTTTTCGGAGAGAGACACTCACTTCACCAGACTATTGTTTGAAACGCCATATTATTCTAAAGAATAATTTTTTTATTTCGATTTTTGTTTTTTTTTTTCTTTTTACAAGCTTTTTATTACTTTCACATGTCTGGTGTCTGTCGTCAAATCTTGCAACTTAAAATTGACCCACTTCCCGGTTTCCTATTGAGCTGAAATTTTGCATACATGTGTAAGTCCGATGACAATGCAATATTATGGTACCATTGAGCTGGTCTGATGATGGAGTCGGGAGGTGGCCATAGGAACTCCTAAACAAAACGGCGGAAACTCATCGAGTTTGGGTTCGTTGGATTTGTCTTTTCGAGCACTTTAGTGTTAGATAACGTCCAGGGTCCTGAGATTAAGATATAACTAAAAAGTGTAAAATAAAATTATAATAAAAATAAACTTTTTTAAAACAAGCTTTTATTCTGAATTTCGAAAGCTTGTAGCGCAAACAGAGAAAAAGAGGAATAAATTCCATGCGCGATACAAACTTTCGAAATTCAGAATAAAAGCTTGTTTTTAAAAAAGTTTATTTTTTTTATTCTAAACACGAATTTAACGATAGAGTAAATCTGATTTAAAATATTATTTTTTTGTTAAAATACATTTTCTATGGCTAGTTTTGCTATCCATTGTCACGTAAACGTAATTTTAAGTCAAATAAAAAGATAAATATTTGATAAACCTTTGATTACATACGTTTTTTTACTATGTCCCGCTTCTGACGGAAGAATCCCGCTATTTTCACTCAAAAAGTACTAAAGTCCCGACTTGGCGAAAAAAAAAAACTGGCAACGCTGCTCACTACCTACGTATAAAATTTTGATTTGTTAATTCTAACAATATGTGAACATATTTATGTAACCATTAGAGATGTGGGGGGGTATGCCCTCCCCCCCCCCCCTCTTCGTACCCATAAAATTTTGATTTGTTATTTGTAACGATATGTGAAAATATTTCAAGCCATTAGAAATGTGGGGGGGGGGACTGACCCACCCCCTAATCCCACCCCTGAAGCCTCAAGTCAAATGAGGGTAGCCCCCCCGCCCTGAAAATAACCCCAGATACACCAATGACTAATAATAAAAAGTAAGTAATTAATTAATTTGTTAGGTAGGTAAGTATTAAAAACTAAAAATATGTCGATTTCTTTGATGGTATGTGTCATAAAAGTACCTAACACTATACATTTATGTATCACGAACTTGGGAAAAAGTAACAATAATACGGTTCCTTGTTTCGTGATACTAATTACTCCAAATTCCCCAAGTAAAATTCATAAATTATTGTCAAATTGTGTCAATTAACTATTATCTCTCCCATATACAACACAAATAAACAAAGATAAATAAAACAAATCGAATTAAAACCAAAATTACGCTGGTAGTACTTATGCCAATTTCTCTTAAAATTGGTCATTTATGTGAACTTCAAACTCGTGTCATATAAATTCTAGTTAACGAAACATATACCGAATTTAGGTCATGAGAAACTTAAATAAATGCATTATTTGTTTCATTACTTACATTTAAATTATCATAAATAATTATTTAAAAACCAAGCATCAAAATGTTATCCATAATATCCTTGATTTGGTAGTGTCACGAAGTAGGGGACACCCAAAAAATAATATGTACGCTATTTCGTGAGTCAATTAATCGCAATTTTAAAGGAATTCTACGTTTTCATATAACTTTTTTCTAAGCCAAATCAATTGTCAAGGAACGCATGAAACCACTATTACAAGTTTTATTCAAATGGACGTTCCTTCGCCTTTCTAGAAGCTTAAGAAGTTGGAGCGCTAACCTTACGGTGAGAGCAACCTTTGCACGCCGCACGGCTGTTTTTGGCTCTCTGAGAGTTTGAAGCTTCGTATTGCTCTCATTTTTGGCGCCACAATGTTGGTACTTGGTTTTTTACATAACCTAAATAATAGAGTTTTTGTAGTAATGAAGAATTTTTACAAATAATATTCCATTTGCTTATTATTTGAGCTAGAAAAAAAACTTACGAACTTACGTACTATCACGAACTAGTAGCCGTTTACCTTAACTGGATCTATCTGAAAATTCAATGTTTCCAGATCGATCCAGTTTATCCTGTAACCTATTATCGATATCGGTAGAGCTCATGAAGCACTTTCAGGATCAGTAACCAGTTTTTGGAAATCAGTGTGCCTACCATGAGTTTACGTTAGGTGTGCTCGCTAGCGACTGCGTAAAAAAATGACATTTAAATGTATGACATATTGTGCAGCGCCCCTAGCGGCTACTTTCAAGAAATAAAATCTTCATAGAATTTTTTGACGTATTCGCTAGCGAGCTCACCTAACGTAAACTCATGGTAGGCACACAGGTATAGTTTGGGTACATATTCGAGTGATGCTACTTGACTGCTTTGCTCAGCACTGCGTCGCTTGCATACTGAGAAACGCTCACTAGATGTGAAAAATATACGGGACCTATCCAATAATAAAAGCGAGACTGCCTTGAAGTTCTAAAAGCAAGTCTTTCGATATTTCCAATCAATTTGGATAAAAAAGTAACAAAAAGCAACTAGGTAAAACAAATAACGATTTAAAAAAAATACAGAATTTGTTTATTTTATTTAGTTGACTTTTTTAAATTTATTGTGTTACAACTGTATCAAATTATGACAATTTTAATTAATCTAATGTTTTCCAGAACTAATGGAGTAACTTTTTGTGATTTTTGAAGTCATTTTCATGATTTTTGTTTAGATAAATAATCATTAAAAATGTAATTTACGTAATAACAAAACATAGCTTACGTATAATGTTTGAATGACTTAAATATCGCCATCTGTGATAGTTTACAATCTAACCTCAATTATTGTATCTTATTCCACAGAATAAAATATAGCAATATGCATGCAACCATCTTTATTTTTAAAATGAAACTACGAATCTACGGTTTCGTAGCTCGTAGTGCCTCTGCTACGAAAAAGTAGCGTCTACGAGACGTTTGTCTTAGAATATTAACGAGAAACTGCGAGAATGCAGTTCCATACTAGGAATTTACAATCAAGTATACCTACCAATATCCAAGAACAATTAATATAAAGTATTTACGTAAGCTGCTATCACTCTCACCAATGAAATATTCATTATTATTCCGAATAATTTACCCTGCAGATATTCGTAGATCCGTAGCTAAGCGGTAATGGTGAAAATAGCTACGAGCTTTTAGCAATACAAGTAAAACAATGAGCCAGTGAGAGTAGACGCGTTTGGTTAACGAACACGTTTAAATATTCACGGTGAACATTACGTAACAAAATGGCTAACTAAACTACACGGCGCACTACCAAAACCTTGTTACCACAGAGTGTTAAATAATATGTCCATCAGCATTAAACTCCATTAAGCTATGCACACGTTGTTGCTAAACGGTCAAGGTCTGATTGTGTCGACCTTAACTCATCGATCCATACGTTCAAACAGTAAACATCGAGCTTACACTACATGCGCAAACAGCTTTAAACTTACTCGTTCGATATGGTCCTGTGTGTATAGATGTTATGAACTATGCGCCACCGCTGCAGCCGTGAACTTGACTGCGGCACGCCTCGTGCACCCAACACAATAGAGCGATATCGGGAAAAGCATTCACGAGAAACGTGCACTCTCTAAACCACACAAATGGACGCCTACGGAAAAATCCAATAAAATGCAATCTACTTCAAGTATGGCGTTATGCGCAGCTGCAAGGTCCAAGGCCGAGGGTCCTGGACGTGCCCCGACTAGCACCCTCCGACATTACACTGAATCGCAGGGAATTTAATATCAGGATAAACAGAGTCCTCGCTACTGAACGCACAATTCCATGGTTGCGAATTGCGTCGCGGCGCTTCCATCGAACTGTCACCTACACAGCCATTCCGTTTTCAAGTTTCACACAACAAAGGGCACAAGAGGGAATGTTTCTAAAAATCGATAAAAGCCTTTGGAGGCTAATGGGGGATGTTTTTGTTGTGTCAAACCTTATTGCGCACATTGAAAACACGACACTGAAACGTTTGCAGAACTGCGCCGATGAAAATCACACAGTAACATCGCTAAAAGACTCACTCGCTTAGCTTGCACAGCACATAAATGTTCACTTGCTAATTCGCGTTTTCTGAGAGGTCTGCAGAGGCAGCAGCCGGCTGATCGAGACGCGTGCCTGCGAAGCGGCGTCGAGGAGCGCTGTGTTATTGTTGGGCGGGCGGCGACAGCGAACGCGGCACTGAGAGTCAAGGTCAGCTCGTGGGAGCTTCGCTAGCGGCCGGGCGCTCCAAGGTCGACACCCGCCCCTCACCTCGCACAATCAATACTAAATTATAAACGGAAAATGCTTACACACCCAGTTTCTTTTGGCTTTATCGCGTGTTAGAACTTTTAAATGTGTCCGTGGAGCAGGGAAAGCTCAATGGATACTTCTCGCCGGTCGCAATTCACGTAGCCGCAAGTTTATTGCGACGGACCGGCGCGGACGAGCGACTACGTACTACGGAGTGCCTGCTCAGTGGCGCTACTGCTACGGTTTGCTTGTACTACATGTATGTATGTTACTGTACGCTCGCTCGTGTATGCATGCCCTCCACTGTTATATTATACAGTATCACAAAGATCCTGTATTCACGTGATATTGGAATGTTTTAACTGGCAGGATTTTTTTGTTTCGGCAGCTCATTTAAGTAGCGGTAAAATTAAAGCCTCTTAAACGTGTTTGCTGTGTAACTCGTATAGCTATACGTATTACAGTAGCAGTGCTACGACTGTCACTTTCCTTAATCCTAGCAACGGGATTGTAGGTTAAAGCCCGTTGTGTGACATAAAAGAAACAAGATTAGTATAAGCTTCTTTAGACTTTAGATTAGACCTTGGCGACCATTTTTCTAAATGTATGATGCCGGTCAAGATATAAACTTTGAAAAACGCTCAAAAAGGATTAAATGATAATAAGTAATAACTTCTCATGTTAAGGTAAAATCGATAATTGTCAATTTTCGTGTCCTGATTTCGTTCGGAATTGTTTACGAATAAAAAATCAAGTTTCTTAAAGGACTAATCCCTATAAAGATTATTTTGATTTAGTAGGTAAGGTACATTTAGATTTCGTAACAAATTGTACCTACTGAGCAACCATTTTCAACCGACTTCAAAAAAAGGAGGAGGTTCTCAATTCGACCCGTATGTTTTTTTTCTATGTTTGTTACGCGATAACTCCGCCAATTATGAACCGATTTGAACAAATCTTTTTTCGGCGTATAGGTACAACAACCCCCAAGGGTGGAAAATTGGGGATGAACTTTTTTATACGCAATATCTCCGCCGATTATAAACCAATTTGAACGATTATTTTTTTGTTGAATAGGTATTATCAAAAGGGTGGTTTCATGCGAATTTGAAGAAAATATTTCACCCCCAAGCCCCAAGGGTGGAAAATTGCGGATGAACTTTTTTATACGCAATATCTCCGCCGATTATGAACCAATTTGAACGATTATTTTTTGTTGAAAAGGTATTATTTGTGTTCACGCATTTGAAGTCAGTTTTTTTTTTTAAGTTATTATTATCCGACTGCGCCAGAAGGAGGGTTATGTATTTCGAGTGTGCATTTCTTTAGCACGGCCTACAGCCTAAACGGATTGGCCGATTTTAGCGTGAGAGGTGGCGTTAGATTCGAGAGTGACACTGGCACTCTCATGATTAAGACGAATTAAAATAGGAAAAAAACAAAAAGGCGGATTTTAGGCGCCATAATGTCTTGAATAAATTTTTTTTTTTCAGAATCTGTCGAGTAGGGTATCAAAATAAAGGGATTTTTAAGTAGCTTACTAAAATGTATGGTACTTAACTAAAAATATTTAAAATAAAATTATTATTTAAAAAAACAAAAAACCCAACTGCGTGAAAATGAACTAAAAAGATAATAAAAATGAACTAAAAAGATAAAAAAACAAGACAACTCAGTGACTAAATAAAACAGCTATCAATGACTAATTATTTTGTTAGTGATTTGTATTGGATGCGTCCGACTGCATTTGTGAACACTAAGGCTGAGTACCTAGTCTTGTTTTTATCTTTTTAGTTCATTTTTATTATCATTTTTTAGTTTTTTTTTTATTGTTTCTGGTGCAGACCAAACCAACGCAGTAGAGTAGGTACCAAATAGAACACACATATTCTATTCGAATCTAATTAATAATAATCTAAAAGAATTTGAATCGCCAGCCAGCTCGAAATAGCTATCCTACGATGTTTTAGTTATTAGACGCCTACATAGCTATCAGTATTGGCATCTTCCCTAGCGAACACGTTTTTATAGCGTAAAAATAAAAATAAACGTGATACGGCAGAACTATCGCGCTCGAATTGCCTCCATTGAAATGCCGGGAAATATTTCAGATATTCGATTATTTGTAAGCGAGTTTTTCCAGCCAGATAATGGACGCTGCATTTTATTTTATTTTAATCCGATTAACCACATAAGGCCAATGAGTTTCGAAAAAATACAATTTATTATCGGATAAACCTATTTGCAAACATTAACACGTAAATCATATTTTTACTTGTTCGTGTTATTTATTTATTTATGTAGCCTGTTTTTAAAGTCTGCCGAGAAACTCCGAGTTGCACAACGAGCAATGGAAAGACAGATGCTTTGCGTTTCCCTACAAGATCACAAAATAACGAGTGGATCAGAGAAAAGACGGGGGTCAGCGACGTGGTGGGAGGGATTGAGAGCCGTAAATGGAGATGAGCAGGGCACTTTGCACGGATGAACCATGATCGCTGGGCCAGAAAGACCCTGGAGTGGAGACCCCGCAACAACACCCACGGCAAGGGAAGACCGCCTAAACGGACAGACGACATTCGGCAGCAGGCTGGAGTAAACTGGATGCAAGTGGCCAGGGACAGAAGTCAATGTTGGGTTAAGAGAAGGCCTATGTTCGAAGGCCCTAAAGGCTGATATAGATAGGATGTTTATACTCTTTAATTAAATCGAATAAGCCTTCGCAGTTCGTTATCCATCGAGTTTAGACCGGTTCACTGGACTTTGGCCTCTAGTATAACCCGTTTTAATCACCCTGCAAACACAGGCGATGGTTACTGCTTCATAAATATCTACGTCGTCCACTTTGGTCGGTGCTGCGACAGAAATGGCCGACCCACTGCANAAAAGCAGTTTTTAGGTCAATTTTCGGAAAAAATTAAATGAAAACAAAAATATCAATAAAAAAAAATTACCACTTAGGGTCAAATGGGCGAACGTGTATTCTTAAAATGACCTTACCTATACACCCACGAAGTTTGTCTAACCTTCCGCCAAGCCCTGTATTATAACTAATTTAAGTATGATTAAAATATTCTTGCAAATGTTAGACTTGCTGTTTTTTTAGTATTATTTTGATTTATTTTGATATATTAGTATTATTATGATTAGAAAAAAGTCAGCTTCTTTGTTATTAATATTTAAGTATACAATTCTTTGTATTAAGTATGTAAAAATTTAGTTCGAGTTTTCCTTTTCGTAGTAATTGGCAAGCAGAACGAACGGGATTTACCTATTTAGTATCCTAATTCCGAAGTGGTTTCCAGTTATAATACACTTATGATAATATAATCTAAGTACTGTAAAACTGGAGAACATTTATTTTAGTCAAAATTAACAATTAAAATATTCGTTAAAAATTTAAAGTCGTTTTTTTATGACGATTCATTAGAAAAGAGGCGCTTCATAGGTTCCGCACACAGGCGCTGGCGGCGGTCGGCGCGGCCCTGACCCACTGCCACCAACTTGCTGAATTTTCGGACCATGTCCATCCAAACTTTAGCATTTTGCCGATTGGCATCGTTCCCGATTTTATCCCTTAACGAGATCCATCGACTTTTTCGATGCTTGCTTAGTGACGAGCAGAACGGATCAAATTAGAATAAACGATTTCCTGATTGGAAATAAGCCTCAACAAATGAAATATAGGACGACTCCTGCTTGATGGACAGTCTTTCCTATAACATATCACATATTATACCTATTTGACTAGCTAAGTAAATGACATAGAATAATGAGCTTATAAAAGCACATAAAACTTGTTATCATTGTCTTTTGTCTTTGTAAGAGGTCTTTTTTCTTACGCTGCTGCTTCTTCTTAGCTCACTGGCCCATATTGTGTCACGAAGCAGTCAAGTTAATGTTTTAAAGTTTGCATTTAAGAGAGCTTTGATACACTATGAGAACGTAAAAATTAAAAATATTATTATTACAGATATTTTAAGTGAAGTGAAGTGAAGTGAAGTTACTTGCTTATTTTAAGTGAAGAAATAGAATAATACTCGTAGGTTTCTTTAACATATCTATTATAACAGTCTTAAATTAAATTTCAAGTATGTAAAGAAATAGTATTAAAAAAAGAAGAAAAAATGATTATTTAGTACCAAGTAAAAAATAATATTCATATAAAAATGGTGAACGATAATATAAAGCACAATTTTGGAATGGGCTTTAATTATTCGCACGAATTTCACTTAAATTTCTGAATGGTGATTTTCATACCTCGCCGTGTTAAAATCACCCGAAATTATCACTACAAAATATGAAAAGGCAGGGAAATTCGCCTGCAATGTAGCGCTCTGACGAGTTCCTCGAATCGGTTGTACAGGTTGCGCACTGCAATGTTCATTCTCTAGATTTAATGATGGTGTTACAAATTAATTAATTATTTGTTACGCACTGAAATGTGACTCTACAACCTAACTACGAGTATTTACAGATGTTTGTAAGCAATTTCTCGCTGTAGGTAGATAACTAAACGATTGGCACTGAAATATTTGGCACATAAACAGTCTACAATATTGATAAATGTTTTCACGAATCTAAGTTAAACTTACCGCTCTACATCTGGAGTTACATTCTAACGAGTGAATTTGTATAACATTTCAGCAAGTATCTACCGGTGCAGAACAACGTAGGGCGCTGTCTGAGGTAAAAATAAATAGATATTAGGGATAAGTAGGGTTGACACGTCTTAAAATCGCAAAGCCGAACTGGACAGCGAGTTAAGCCCAAAAAGGTAGATGTTTTAATTAAAAAGTCTATACCTCTAGTGTTAAACTTACAAAATAAAACGAGTCTTTTCCCACCTCTCGTTCGCTCCGCTGCAACTCCTATGTAGTCAGGATCTACAGCTTGACCGCCAATAAA